TAAAGATGAAAAAAAATCAAAATGTATTACAGGGCCTGAAATGTCAGAATACTGGTAGGCTTTTAGATTGAATATGATCCCCCTATGCCACTTACTTCATGACCAAAGTATATTAAATAACATCTTGAAGCAACAATTTAATATTAATTTTATAATTTATACACAGCCATTTCCTTGGACAGGACATACTCTCACTTCTCTCAAAGGAAATCTATCTAAACTTTAAAAGTGTGAAGTTTAAATTAAAAAAAGCATTGCACATTCAAGAACAATCTCAAATAGACCAAGAAGAACAAGCCAGTTTCTAGACAATGAAATTGTATTGGGTCCAGATTAAAGTTATACATTATGACTAGCAAAGGACTTCACTCATCAGAGCAACCAGGATTATTTGTGGAATGACTAATGTAGTCATAAGCAAGCATATCACAACAGACTATTGAGATCACACATCTGCTCAACTGGGTTGTCATTTACTACAACAAATCTGTACTACAATGTAAATTTCAGTGTTCTCCATACAGCCCTTTAGAAGAATGGTTCCCAAATGCCTGATGGGGCAGGCTGGCAGTATGCCCTAGGAGTGTTTTTTATGCCTAGACAACTGGTTTGCAAGTCTGGGATCTAGCTAAGGGACTTATTTTTGGTTTTAATCCTTCACAGGTAATGATGATATATCGCCAGGTTAGGAAATCAATGCACAGTGAACAAAAAATAACTGCAAAAAATATTTGTGAGTCTAGGAGTAAATCCCAGAGAACTATATTGTAAAAGCAAGTAGAGACTGTCAATATGGACAGAAAGGTCACCATTATGACTTTAGATCATTTTATCTTAATTTTAGCAAACGATTCATCATGTTCTATTCTAGCACTGATGCCTATTTATCTTAATTCCTGAAAAAATTTACTGCAAATGTATCTACCGTCCCCAGCAATGAGACATAGAGAGTAGGTAAAAATGTAAATAGGTTTTTGTTCCTTTTCTGCCAAAAGCTTGTAGAAGTCCATATTAAATCCCAGTTCCAAATGGAGTTAGGGTAACTCAATGAAAATCTTGGGGCAGGAAAAAAAAAAAATCTCCAAATTTTCACCTTTCAGATAAAAATGTGCAAATTTCGCCAAATGTTTAAGAAAAAATTAATGAGCAAAACTTCTTCATCAAGCTACTTTTGTATAGGCAAGTCACATGGACATACCATATACTTCTTTTGGATTGAAGCTTTAAGATATTTACATATCCTAGGGTAATATAGTTATCAAAACTAAAAGTAGTGGCAAGAAGTCTGTTAGCAGTCTCAGACTAGCTCCAGAGTGTTGCCAGAAGTCACTCTAAGTCATAAGTGAGACTGAGAGGCCCCTGCTTCCATAGAAAGAAGCAGTACAATTTCTGAAGGGGAAGAAATGTAGAACTCTTGTTAAACAGATACTGCTGGCTTTTCCACTTAAGGGAAAGATGAGCTAGTTTTTTAAAAAGATGAAAAATAACTTTTTACCACAAGATCTTCCAGAGAAGAGCCATCACTGATAACAAGGTCATTAAATTGGTCTTGGATTTGGTCCATAGTTTGTGGGAGATCTCGAGCTGGAATAAACCACTCATGTTCCTCTTCTTCTTCCAGCATTTCTTGGAAACAGCGTTCAATAAATTCTTCTTCCCATAACTCCTCTTCTATCTGGATTTATAATAAATAAAGCATCACTGATAGCACACTTGGTAATGTGTCACTAGGAATGTGTCACTAGGAATGATTTAAAATATCCTGAATTAAGGCATTTAAGGTGTGCCTGGGTGGCTCAGTTGGCTGAGCATCCAACTCTTGATTTTGGCTCAGGTCATGATCCCAGGGTTGTAGGATTGAGCTCTCTGCACTGGGCTCCGTGCTGGACGTGGAGCCTGCTTAGGTTAGGATTCACTCTCTTCCTCTGCCCCTCACCAGCTCATGTGCATGCTTCCTCTCTCAAAAAAAAAAAACAAACAAAAAAACAAACAAAAAAAACAGAAACAAGAAAAGCAATTTAAAGCATTTAAAAACACACTATTTTAACCTTCTTCTCTGCTCCTGTGCCAAGAAAAAAAAACGTTTACTGTAAGACTAGGGAGGATCTGTTTAAGGTTTTGCTGTCTTTATGTGTAGTAGCAGAAAGTGGGGAAGTATTAAATAAAGGAGTGCTTTCACTGAGGAATGCCTATTGGAATTACTTGTGATACTTTACAACTGCGAAAACCCTAAACCCAACCAAAAATGACTAAAATTCTGTACAGGGTAGGGTCAAGGCATGGGTAATTAAAAACAAATCCAAACTAACAAAAACAGCCCAAATGATTCTCACTGAATTAAGACTACACTGTTTTACTCCAGAATATCCATTACTGGATATGGTGAAATCCAGCTGACTACTGATTACCAAAGCCATGATCAGGGAGGAACTAGACAAAACATGGGAACAGATGCCAGAAATATGGAAATAAAAGACAACATTCATCAATGTCTGAGCATTCTCTAAAGAGAACAGTGGTGGCAGATTTTCAGGCTCATCAGATTGAGAACCTCAGGTGAAACACAACACAATTCTGTACCCTAGTAGCTAGGACTATCTCCTCCTGCTTTCTACTCTTTTAACAGCAATCTGATTGGTGCATGGCAATGGATTCCAAACCTAACTGTACACTGGAACCAACTTTATTTTTTTAAGTTTTATTTTCAAGTAGTCTCTACACCCAATATGGGGCTCGAACTCACAACCCTGAGATCAAGAGTCGCATGATCCACCAAATAAACCATCTAGTTGCACCCCATCTTGGAGCTTTTAAAAAACAAGTTTCGGGGCGCCTGGGTGGCTCAGTCGGTTAAGCGTCCGACTTCAGCTCAGGTCACGATCTCGCGGTCCGTGAGTTCGAGCCCCGCATCGGGCTCTGGGCTGATGGCTCAGAGCCTGGAGCCTGCTTCTGATTCTGTGCCTCCCTCTCTCTCTGCCCCTCCCCCGTTCATGCTCTGTCTCTCTGTCTCAAAAATAAATAAACGTTAAAAAAAAAATTAAAAAAAAAAAGTTTCCTAGGCTCTACCCTAGTCCTCCTGAATAAGAATATCTGGGGTGGAATGCTGAAAAAACCTCCCTAAATTATTTCATTGAGCAGATAAACCTGGTAGTAATCAGCATCCAAATAAAAGAGGATTAGTGGCACATTAATTCATATATTTCATATATAAGGGATGAAATAAAACAAGCTTCAGGGTCAAGTACTGAGGGCTGTTATGGGCTACAAAAGAGAGTATGTTTGTACATAAAACTAACTTGTCTGTTGAATTCCTCTTCATTTTCCATCCACATGTACTCTGCAAATGGATTGTCATCTTCATGAGAATGACCATTAATAATCACATCTTCATTGATGATGCTTGGGCTAGTACTGCTGCGACTTGGATCTTTCATGGTTGGCGTTAGTTGTCGTTTTTAACCTTAAAAGAAAAACAATAGTTAATTGTGTTAGTCATTCTTTCGGTTCTTAGTGAGCAGCTATTATCTCCAGGAATCGTGGTTAGGTATTATATGCACATGATGTATTAAGGCACATGATAAACCAAGCAAGTGGAAAGTTTAATTTTTTTTTTTTTTCTCAAATGATCTCAATATTTAAGAAAGTGCTGAGAATAGCCTAGATTCATCTAGTGCTTTCTGGTAACAGCAAATGACAGTAATCAACAGCTTGAACGTAATTCCCAAATCAACCAATTTTTTAAATACTGGATATCTCTTGCTTTATTTATTTTTTTTTTTAATTTTTTTTCAACATTTATTTATTTTTGGGAGAGAGACACAGCATGAATGGGGGAGGGGCAGAGAGAGAGGGAGACACAGAATCGGAAACAGGCTCCAGGCTCTGAGCCATCAGCCCAGAGCCCGACGCGGGGCTCGAACTCACGGACCGCGAGATCGTGACCTGGCTGAAGTCGGACGCTCAACCGACTGCGCCACCCAGGCGCCCCAAGGATATCTCTTGCTTTATAAAACAAGCATGGTCTGGAAGATCTAAATCAAGTGACTTTATGAAAAGCAAATTCTACTTTTAACAGGTGATATTAAAAAGCTCAGAGATTGCAAATGAAAACAGACTTTTAATAACCTCTTAGTTCCTCAGTCCCAAGGTAAAGAATGCTGTGGATCTCTAGACTTCATACCACACTCTCTATTTGCTTTGTATCTCTGGGTCCATGTCGAATTTCTCCATGTCTGGATCTGTCCACTGTACAATGATTTTCAAGCCAAGTAATCTCATATATATGTGTGTGTGTGTGTATATATATATATATAAATCTCATATATATGTGTGTGTGTGTGTGTGTATATATATATATATATATGCGCGTGCTATTCTTCTTTTTTTTTTTTTTTTTTAGAAAGAGAGCACAAGCTGGGGAGAGGCGCAGAGAGAGAGGAAGAGAGAGAATCTTATGCAAGTGGCTCAATCCCATGACCTGGGACCATGACCTGAGCTGAAACCAAGAGATGAACTCTCAACTGACAGAGCCACCCAGGTGCATCTATTTTTAAAGTTTGTTTAGAGAGAGAGAGACAGAGAGAGACAGAGAGAGAGAGAGAGAGAGAGAGGGAGAGGTAATGAATGAATCCCAAGCAGGTTCCACACTCCGTGCTGAGCCCAACTTTGGGCTCAATCTCACAACTGTCAACAGCTGGATGGTTAAGTGACTGAGCCACCCAGGTGCCCCAATATGCATGCTTTTAAATGAGAGAGTTTATCTACAGACTGCTTTTTAAACTGCTTTACTACCTTCACAGTATGTAATAAGCTTTTCCATGCAAGTTTCTGAAACTCCCCTGCTGACAGAAAAACTTCCAGACTAACTCAAAATGAAATATCCAAACAGAAAAACGACAGCCCGCTTCAGATCCTCTGTTCCCCCTCTCTCTGCCCCTCCCGTTTTCTCTTTCCAAAACAAAACAAAAACAAACAACTTTATTAAAAAAAAAAAAAAGAAAGAAAGAAATATGACAGAACACCAGATTCACAGCAAAGGGTACATCAAGAAAACGTTACTTTGGGAAGCAGGAGGTTTTATTATTAATATTAACCTCAGCATTCAAGGCAGAAGATAAAACTCATCACGATAGTCAGGATGAGGGGGATGTCCTATAAGAATGTGCAAACTGTACCTCAAATGAAGCTCCCTAATTTTCCTCCTTGTCTCTCTCATCTCCTCCATGAACCGTTCCATATCATCAGCAACTCCATCTATCATATCAAGGTTACTGACAAGCCTATTGGGCATATCCTGTCTAACATCATGGGCAGGTGAGGCCCAACCTGTTCTAATATTTCCTCCAAGCTCCTGGCCTTCACCACTTCCCAAAGGATGGGCTTCTTCTTTATTCTGCACTGCAGCCTGCTTTTCTCCTATGCTTTCCTGGGAGACCTTTTCCATGTTGAGATTTCTTTTCCTGCTTCCCCTTCCTACAGGGATCAGAAGCAGTCTTCCTCTCTTAGCCTTGAAATTTGCTGCACCAATGGACCTAAAGACCTGTTATGGATAAGTCAGCTTCTATGACTTCTTCCTTCCCAGGGCTATAGACTCACCCACCTTCACAGCAACAGCAAGCAGGTGCACAGCCACAAAGGACTACCAGACTCCAACTAGTTCAAGCATCTAATCTCTTTCTATGTGAGTAAAAACACAACAATATCTAATACAGTAGACTGGGTTTCTTATATACTATTCATTAAATGATAACATGATCTAAACCAGCTGATACACTGCTGGCTAAAAGTGTAAAACTTAAGGGTCAGATTCTACAATATTCTACCAATTCATTAAGTATGAAATTGCTAAAAATGAGTTTACATGAGTCACTTGTACATAAATTCAAACAGCAGCGTGACCTGTGCCAAAGGAAGAAATCAGCATACCTAATATGAGAATAGAGTTTAAAAAACTTCAGGTGTTCTTACTCCAGTTATAATCAAGAAAAACACTAAAAACTAAAACATCCTACCACAAATAGTTTTTTCCTTGGGTAAGGTTCAGGGAGCACTTGCTCTATATGTATTGCCAGTCCTAATTCATTATTTTTTTTAAACTTTTTTATCAAAGATATTCATTCTCTGTTTTCTGTCCTGTCTGCTTTTATAGTGCCTTCTATTATTTTCATTCTACCCACACCTTAGCACATAAATCTCAGTCTGTCTCTGCTTCTCTTTCACATGTATACAATAATAAATAACTAGGGCAGCAGTTCTTAGTAACTTATATTTGAGGACCTCTTAACAAATACAGATGTCACTACCATGATGCTACTGTCAGTAGTATTCAGTATTTCAGAAAATACCTGTGTGTTTCAGGATATAAACACCCCAGCCCCAGCTTAAGAGACTAAATTCACATTATATGAATAGTATGAGTTTTCATTATACATACGTACTCTTAAGGTTAAGTCCATAAAAGGAATCTAAGAAAGGGGCAACTGGCTAGTTTAGTCAGTAAAGCATGTGACTCTTGATCTCGGGGTTGTGAGTTTGAGCCCCACACTGGGCTGTCTGTTGTCAGCGCAGAGCCTGCTTTGGATCCTCTGTCACCCCCTCTATTGACCTCTCCCCGACTTGCATGCATGTGCTCTCAAAAAAATAGCAAAACAAGGGCACCTGGGTGGCACAGTCGGTTAAGCGTCCAACTTCGGCTCAGGTCATGATCTCACAATCTTGTGAGTTCAAGCCCCGCACTGGGCTCTGTGCTGACAGCTCAGAGCCTCAAGCCTGCTTCTGATTCTAGGTCTTCCTCTCTTTCTGCCCCTCTCCTGCTTGTGCTCTCTCTCAAAAATAAACATTAAAAAAATAAAATGTCTCTTTAAAAAAAATTAAATAAATATGCCTCTGTAATCAAATTATATCTACATGTAAAGGCAATCTATTTTTTTTTTTAAAGTCCATTCAATTTATGAGCACAAGCTTATGTAAACCATGAAAAATGTGCTCAGGAAATTCTATAGTCTGAGAATCCCAAAGGACTCCCCTCTCTCTTTGATGCCTACCAGTAAACAAAGAAAATATCAACAGTGCTTAGCAAAAAGGGCCCAATCCCTGTATTTGACAAGGCTCTAGGTCAGCTTTTTTGCTCATTATCACTTCATCAAACAAGCTGTGGCTTTGGCATACATCCTAGAGAAAGAGTCCATAAAGGACTAAATAAAACTATTTTATTAAGCAATATTTGGGAAACAAATCATAACTGAAACCAAAAAGAACAAACTGTAGCCCAAACACTAATCTTGTATCTTAGACAGCTGAGGGAAGGAACAACTGCTGACCAAATTTCTGGCTACAGCCAGCCAGGTGAAAGCCAGAGGGGTAAGGATCATTTTCTTTCAGAATGTTGACAACTTACAATTATTGAACATAAGGTATTCTAATATAACGTGATGTATCAAATTTTAAATTTTTTTCTATGACTTGTTCTTGACCCTTCTTGGACCACATTCTTCATACTGGATCCTCTGCATGTTCTGCTGTTTTTAAAAACTGGGTATAGGATGGGGTGCTTGGGTGGCTGAGTCGGTTGAGTGTCTAACTCCAGCTCAGGTCATGATCTCATGATTCGTGGGTTCGAGCCCCATGTTGGGCTCTGTGCTTACAACTTGGAGCCTGGAGTCTGTTTCAGATTCTGTGTCTCCCTCTCTCTCTCTGCCCCTCCCCAACTCACACTCTGTCTCTCTCTCAAAAAGTAAACATTAAAAAAAAAAACAAACCAACAACTGCGTATAGGATCACCTAGTTGGCTCAGTTCATAGAGCATGTGACTCTTAATCTTGGGGTCCTGAGTTCAAGCCCCATGCTAGGTATAGAGCTTATTAAAAAAAAATTGGGGAGGGGGCACCTGGGTGGCACAGTCAGTTATACGTCTGACTTTGGCTCAGGTCATGATACATAGTTTGTGAGTTCAAGCTCTGCATTGGGCTCTGTGCTGACAGCTCAGAGCCTGGAGTCTACTTCTGATTCTGTGTCTCCCTCTCTCTCTCTGGCCCTCCCCTGCTCATGCTCTCTCTTTCTCTCAAAAATAAATATTTTTTTAAAAATTGGGTATATAGCCCAAATACCATAAAATTTATGATTTTATTTTTTTAATATGAAATTTATTGTCAAATTGGTTTCCATACAACACCCAGTGCTCATCCCAACAGGTGCCCTCCTCAATACCCATCACCCACCCGTCATCAACCCTCGGTTTGTTCTCAGTCTCTAAGTCTCTTAAGGTTTGCCTCCCTCCCTAACTTTTTTTTCTCCCGTTCCCTCCCCCATGGTCTTCTGTTAAGTTTCTCAGGATCCACATAAGAGTGAAAACAAATGGTATCTGTCTTTCTCTGTATGACTTATTTCACTTAGCATAACACTCTCCAGTTCCATCCATGTTACTACAAAAGGCCATATTTCATTCTTTCTCATTGCCACGTATTCCATTGTGTATATAAATTTATGATTCTAAAGTGTCGGATTGGCATTTGTTAAAAACAGTTAAAGGCAAATATAGCAGCCAAAGCCACCTAGGGCAAGGAAGAAGAGATGTGGCAAACAAAACACCAAGAAAAAAGCATGGGAAAAAAGATGGGTGAAGTAAATACTTTGGGCATAAGGGCTTTGAAAAACTCCTGCATATTCTAGGGAACCAAGGCCCTGGGCAAGTCCAATGCTGAGAGCATGCTCAGAAAAGACCTGAGGGGTGCCTGGATGGCTCAGTCAGTTAAGCGTCTGACTCTTGATTTCAGCTCAGGTCATGATCTCATGGTTCGTGATATAGAGCCCTATGTCAGCCTCTGTAGTGACAGCACGGAGTCTGCATGGAATTATCTCTCTCCTCCTCTCTCTCTGCCCCTCCCGCAAGTACTCTCTCTCTCAAAATAAATAAATAAACATTAAAAAAAAAAGACCTGTGAAGGCCCTATACTCTGGCTGACCTTCAGTATATGCACATAAAATGAGGGCTAAGAAAGCTGTGAACTGCTTGAGTGTTGAAGGTATGCCTCAACATAAACAAGAATCTACCTACAAAGACTGAATTTTTTTGTTCATAGGTATTTAAGAAACATTGTATTTAAAAAAAATTTTTTTAACGTTTATTTATTTTTGAGAGAGAGAGGGAGGGAATGGAGGAGGGGCAGAGACAAAGAGGGAGACACAGAATCCAAAGCAGGCTCCAGGCTCCGAGCTGTCAGCAAAGAGCCCGACGCAGGGCTCGGACTCATAAACCACAAGATCATGACCTGAGCCACAGTCAGACACTTAACCGACTGTGCCACCCGGGCACCCAAAGAAAAATCTTTTAAAGATTTTTATTTTATTCTATTTTAAGCAATCTCTACACCCAACGTGGGGCTTTAATTCACAACTCCAAGATGAAGAGTTGCATGCTGTACAGACAGAGCCAGCCAGGGACCTCAGAAAATCTCTTTTTAAATAACTATCTGACCACTAAGCTAAAAGGCTTCAACGGCCATACACATACAGAAAGAACTCAAACTTTTATAAAATTAGTTCAGAAAAATCACTAAACAGATCAATAACAAGCAGAACAAAAACCCTGCGGAAAGGAGAATCTGATTTTTAATGGCACTACATTATAATATTAATGTCCAGTTTTCAACAAAAATGAGGAGTCATGAAAAGAAGAAATATGGCCTATACACAGGAAAAAACAAACTTCCTTGAGGAAGCCTAGACATTGGACTTATAAGACTTTACATCAAGTACAAAATAACTAAAGGAAACCATAATAAAGAGGTCTCATCAAATAGAGAGTATCAGGAGTGATGGGATGGCTCAGTCAGTTAAGTGTCTGTTGGTTTGGCTCAGGTCATGATCTCATAGTTTGTGGGTTCAAGCCCTATATCCGGCTCTGTGAAGACAGTGCAGCATCTGCTTGGGATTCTCCCTCTCTCTCTGCCAGTCCCCTGCTAGTGCTGTCTCTCTCAAAATAAACAAACAAACATTAAATAAAGGTGGGGGGTCACCTGGGTGGCTCAGTTGGTTAAATGTCTGACTCTTGATTTCAGCTTGAGTTGTGATCCTGCGGCCGTGGTATCAAGCCCTGCATTGGGCTCTGCACTGAGCAAGAGCCTGCTTGCGAGTCTCTCTCTCTGTCCCTCTCTGCCCCTCCCCTGCTCATGTGCTCTCTCTCAAAATAAATAAACATGAAAAAAATAGAGAATATCAATATAGAAAAATTATTAAAAAGAAACCAAATGGAATTTCTGGAGTTGAAAAGTACAATAACTGAAATGAAAAATTTATCAAAGGATTACAACAGATTTGATCAAGGAGAAAAAAAATCAGCAAATTTAAAGATAAATCAATTGACATTAATGAGCTTTGGGAGGGAAGTAAAACAATGAAGAATAATGAACAGAACCTTAGAGACCAGTGGGCAACTATCATACAAATAATGGGACTCTCAGAAGAAGACAAGGGGCCAGAAAAAATATTTTA